TAAATAAATACTACATTCCAAAGGCTGTTTCTTCCCTCACTGTTTTTTGGTCCAAGAGGAAAGGGGTGAGATCAGTTATGCTCCTCTCTCCTTCAAATAATAAAATAAAAACCTGCAACCAAGTTAACAAACAGGATCCAAGTTATAAAAAGCCAACATAAGCAAACTTCCTTCATATGACTTCGCTGTTTAGCTCTTCACACTGCTTCCCTCTTGATCTTTGCACTCAGCTAAAGTTTGTCTTAGATTAGAGCTACAATGGCTTCATTTAGGTCCACTAAAATCAGTGTGAAATCATAGACAGGGTTTAAGCTAAAATCCATTTCTTTCAGTGGGAACTAAGTGTGATGAACTTAAACTGGATCCCACCTTTTCTTTGCTGTAAAATGAAATTGAAACATACAGTATATTGACATTTACAAGTTTTGGTTTAACTGATATGTTGGGGTTGATGTAAGTTTCATATTTTATCCTTTAAGAGACCCTTCCTTCCTTCCTTCCTTCCTTCCTTCCTTCCTTCCTTCCTTCCTTCCTTCCTTCCTTCCTTCCTTCCCACACACTACAGCCATGTCACTCAACTTCAGGTAGACTGTGCGTCCTTCAGAGAGTGATATTAAAATCAGTAGACAATCTGTCCAAGAACCTTGGAAAAGACAACTAGAAAGGAGGAGGGACATATTCTACAAATGTTATTCAAAAGATGTGTGCTTAGTATAAGGAGGAAAAACGAAAATTCAAACCAGCCCTGTACACTAAACCACATAGTTCAATACTAGCTATGGTGTAAATAACAATGCAATGATTTACATGAACACAGGAGCTGTGATGGGAGGGTGCGAAGAAAAAAACAAGCTATCATCTCCCTTACCCAAAGAACATTTGTAGACATATGGCTTCCCTCACCCAAATTCTCCATCCCAACCAGTTATCAGGGATGTGTGAAAGAAGAGGAAGAAGTGCTGATATTCATGCACAAGTTCTGAAAACATACTAGAAGAAATGCCATCTCACGCATGCACTCCTTTCCAATCATTCTATTTTTGAGGGCAAAGAAACCCTGGCCATAACCATTAGAGGTTTACCAACCTTTACCAGCTTATGTCTCAGGTTTTAGATCTTCATGATGGCCTGCTGTACTGTAGAATCTGCTCAGAAGAAGAAAGTGATGCTAACTCACAACCACAAAAAAATCAAGACATTTCTTGTCCATGTCATTGGCCCAGAACCATGAAATGAGATTCATGAAATGCAACCATTTCAGTGTTCCAGTTATGAAAATCTATAAAACTGGGGGGACACCATGAAAAGCAAGAAGTGGGCCACCAATGTCTCTTGAAGCTGCAAAAACAATTGTCTAAGAACATCTACTTCGTCAGCTTTTCATACTCTACTCTGATAACAAGAGCTTCTTTCTCCTCTTCATGGGATGAGATGAGGTGTTCACTTTTCTTTATTCTCTCATCACAGTGCCCTATATCTTTTTATTCATAGGTCACCCCCACTGAGTTCAGAAAGATACGGGAGGTATATGTAATTAGTTTCACATTACCTTCTCAAAACATCAAGCAATGAAAATTCAGCCCAAATGGTCAAAATGACATAATGGAAAGCCAGTCCATGCTCCATTATGACCCTAGACATGTTGGGTAGCATAAATACGTGCACTCGGTTAGAAAGACCTTCTACTTGTCATTTGCCTTTTTAGTCAGTTTTTGTAAAAGTTTTTTAAGAAGCAAAAGCAACCGTGCATGGTATCCATTGAAAAGATAGATACAGATAAACAGGGTTGTATGTCTGAAGTTGAGCAATGTGAAATAGGGAAAAAGTGGGAGAAAAGGGGATGTGTGAGAGAAGGGCCAAGTTATTGAAACAGACAGACAAGGATGGATGGATGGATGGATGGATGGATGGATGGATGGATGGATGGATAGATAGATAGATAGATAGATAGATAGATAGATAGATAGATAGATAGATGAACAGATAGGTGATAGAAGATTCTGAGGACATTTAAAATAGGAAAGACTCTTTAACAAAATAAATAGAAGGCCAACATTCAGTCAGTATTCTAAAAACTGCCTGTATTAACTGTGCAAGAAAGAAAGTTCTCAGTTTCTTTGTCTATTTAGCAAGAAAGGATGGCTCTATTTTGTACTTTTTAAAAATTCCTTTCAAATCCATTGGGTCTTCTTCTTTAGGAAAATATAACTCATCACTCTAGGGATCCAATTAGAAACAATATTATTTCCCAGAAACCACGATGTCATTATGTTATCCTTTCCTGAAATGAAATTGTTGCACTTACTACTACCTCAAAGTCTGTTTATTCAAAAATAAATCTACTGGGTCTTAAAGTTCTAGATTGATGCTATTGGAAAACCCAAAAGTTAAAACTGATTTAAAAATAGTTATATGGAAGATTTGAATAGATGCTGCGCATTTTTCCTTTCGATGGATGATAATGATGAGTTTTTACTGTTTTTTTCCTTTAATGTTAAAAAATAAATACCATTTCTTGGTTGCAACCCACTGGCAATATTTACAATACAACATCGATAGATATTTCAGATTGTACCAGCAGCATTTGAAGCTTCAGAGATGTCAAGTTATTAAAAGGGATCACTAAACCCTATGAGGTCAGAAACCTACAGTTCATCTTTATAAATACCTTTATATTAAATACCTTATTAAAAAAAAGATTGATATGCAAATATTTGTAATATTTTTTGAAAAGTTTTAATTACAGTAGTAAAAGATAATACAAACTAAAAAGAGAAAAAGGGAAAAAAAACCCTAAGAAAGTGACTTCTCCCTTTCACCATGACAAGTATAAACAATTTCATTATATCTTCATTTCCTCTTAATTAACAGATATAAAAATCTTCATCCCATAACTCAACTCTTAACTATAGGCAAGCCCAATAAGCAACGTCTTTTGCAATCCAGGTACCAGCACAAAGAGCCCTAAAATAATAATATTAGTTAACAAATGTAAAACTCATAATTCCATATCTCAACTCTTAACTGTAAGCAAATTCATACTTAGAAGATATAAAGTGGTCCCAGTAACCTAATATGAACAAAAGACTGAAATTTAATGTGACAAACAGGAGTAATTCCTCCTTTAAAGAGAACACTCTCACAAAATTCTCTTACTTTAAGTGAAAGGACAATTCAATGCAAAGCCAATTTAGGTGTTGTCAGACTAGGATACATAAAGTGACTGTGGGAAAAGAGGCTTAAACAGCATGTTGACTGTAAGCAAACCCAATGCACAACATTTTAACAGTCCAGATGTCAGAAAGTCCGAAAAGAACCATGCAAAATATGTCCCATTTTAACCCTGATCAAATAAACCAACCTTGTGTTCCTTCCTTTTGCATAAAACAATCTTTTAATCTGTTCAGATGATTATTGATCCTTGTCTTGAATTTCTTCAAAACTTTAACAAGCCTTTTTTATAAGTCCAGCAAGAAAAAATTATTCCAATTGTTCTCTGGGAGTGGCATTTTTATTTTCTTCTTAATTTTTAAAGCCTCCGCTGATTTATTTATTTTTTTTTTGGCATATCCAATGACAAATTCTTGTT